GGAAGCTATCTTGATGATGAGCTTGGAAGCTGTCTTGATGATGAGCTCGGAAGCTGACTTGGCGAGTTTGGAAGATGTCTTGATGACGTGTTGAGTAGCTCAGGAAGCTGCTTTGAGGATGAGCTCGGAAGCTGTCTTGGCGAGCTTAAAAGATGTCTTGATGACGAGCTCGGAAACTGTCTTTGTGAGCTTGGAAGTTGTCTTGGCAAGCTTGGAAGCTATCGGAGCGAGCAAAGCTGCGAGCTAGGGAGGCCGTGAGCTATGAGAGATGTCGAGCTAAGGAGGTTTAGCGAAGCTAGAAAATGACGAGCTGGCAGAGCTAGGGAAGCTTGGCGAAGCTAGGAAATGACGACCTCGCGGAGCAATGGAAGCTTGGCGAAGCTAGGGAATGACGACTTGGCAGAGTTAGGGGAGCTCGGCGGAGCTAGGGGCGAAGCTTGGGAATGATGACCTCGCATAGCTAGGGAAGCTTGGCGTAGCTCGGGAATGACGACCTCACGGAGCTTGGGGAGCTCGGCGGAGCTAAGAAAGTGGGCAAGCTTGGGAGCGACGACCTGGAGAAGCTAAGGAAGTGTGCGAGTTTGGGAGCGACGACCTGGTGAAGCTAAGGAAAGGTGGAGAACTAGGAAAGCTGCGAGATTGGGAGCTCCGAACTGGGGAAGCTAAGGAAGTGGGCGAGCTTGGGAGCGACGACCTGGCGAAGCTAAGGAAAGGTGGAGAACTTGGAAAGTTGCGAGATGGGGAGCTCCGAACTGGGGAGCTGTCAGAGCAAATTTCAGAGAGTTTGTAGTGGAGCTTCTCAGCTTTTGTAAAAAAAGTGAATCTCTTTTCTTAATGGGATGCCCTCTCTATTTTAAGAGAAAATGAGACACTAATCATAGTATGAAGATTACTTTTGGTGAATTACTTTTTGCCAAATTTTATGGGTTTTAGCAATTAATGGACTTTATGAGTTGATCTCAATTGGGAAGGTTTTTAGATAAGGGTGATCAACCCATACCCAACATTTATATGAAAAAATGCATGATCAGTACAAATCAATTACAATTTTAGACTAACTACACTCGTAATAGTGACTTGAAAATATATAAACAATGACATTCTTAAATGGCAATTTATACGTTATACCTATAACTATCAAAACTTTTGTATAACATTTTTTAGGCTTAGGCTTTTTATGATGAACAACCGAAAATTTGATTCGACCAAGAAAAAAACACACTTTTTTGTTTATTTCTAAGTGGGATACTTGCAAGATTTTTGCAGCTCCACTCTGTATTGATCATTGCTTTAAATGTTCAGTCACATGGGCATTGATTTCTTTTTCCATTTGGAATTATATTTGTTCTCTCATCTACATTTTCAAAATTCAAATTCGAGACTTTTAATGTTCTTACTTCTTAAGCAAGATTAATAATCTCTCATCTACATTTTCAAAGTTTTCAAATTTGGAATGACATTTATACTCTCATATCATCTACCATAAACTTTTTTTCTTTCTCAATATAAACTTAAACAACATAAGAGCATGTACATTGGGTGTTCTCAAGTATGTTCTTAAAATATAAAATTATTAAAATTTGAGTGAAAGAAAGAAAGAGAGTGTTTTTCTGGGGTGTATTGAATATAAAATTAATAAAATTTGAGGAAAGAGAGGAGATAGTGAGTGTGTTTAAATATAAAATTAATAAAAGTTGAGAGCATGGGAGAGAGAGTGTTCTTAAAGTAGTACTTTTAGATAGTGTTTTCAAAATAAAAAAAGAGTGTTTAAATATAAAATTAATAAAAGTTGAGTAAAATGATGAAAAAGAAGGTATAAAATTGAGTAAAAAGAAAAGAAAATATGTGTTTTAATAATTTTATATTTTAAGAACACCATTGAGAGCACCCAAAGTCCACACACAAGTTTAGTAACAAACACTTATCAAACTTATAGGTTAGCTGCTAATAAACACAACTTTAAACCCTTACATTACAACTTCATAACACCAAAACAAAATAAAAACAAATGGCGGGTGGTGAAATTCCACCTCTGCCCCTACCCACTTCTGCTTTTTAAACCGGTTTAAAACAAAAGACAGAAGCTACAAAAAAGAAAAAAAAACATAAAAAGTGATAAAACAAAGGAAACCCATTGGTGAAGCATAGAGGTCCCTTTGCTAAAAGATAACACAAACCACTCTACTCAATACTCACTTACTAAAACCCTAATCCTTAAAATGACTAAAAGAGCCCTTTTAAAACAAGCCCTTTCCTCCATTTTACCCTTAAGAAAGTTTTAAGGCTCTCCAATTAAAACCCTAAAAAGCCTTAAAACCATCTTCCTCACTCTCTCCTTCTCTCCTCCATCAACACTACACAAACCCTAAACTATATAAAAACCGAATTTAGAACACAATTTCAACGGAATTGACGACCAGTGAAAGTCTGTCCGAACGACCAACTAGCTGGAGCAACATTGTTGGAGACAACGGTTCGACCATCACTAGCAATAACCTTAAAGGACAATGCTTGACCGTTCAAAAGACTGTTGCTTTGCCAGTTTTGTCCCCAATTCCTTGACATTTGTTGCCATCTAGTTCTCGAACCTTTAACCGCCACCGAGTGAACATCTCCAGCACCACCGACATTAGTGACCAAGACCAAGTTGAAGTAAGAGTGACCATTGATTGTAAACCTTATACCTCCTCTTCTCTTACACGGAACCCTACACATGAAAAAACCAAAACCCATCAACAAAATTTACAGAGCCATTTAAGAGAATCAAACATTAACGACCCAGAGCTATAAAATTCTGAAAGATTGATACTTTAAACGGTTATATGCTAAATACAGCAATAAACAGAGACAATGAGCAAATTTTACAAGAAAACTGAGACTCTGAGTTAGAAATTGCATAAAGATTGAAACTTTATTAAAGTTAACATGTGTGTGGTTACCTTCTGTAAGAGACAGGGACAACACCAGCTTTGTAATGAGCAATGCGTTGGAAAATTGGTTGAGAGAGATCAAAGTGGTGAAGAGGAGGATTACACCAACCACCTGCGTTATTAGGCAAAGCGTTGTTCGCAGGACAGAAATTAGTGGCTGTGACTACAATAGAGCCAGGTAGACACCACGCGCCGTCGCTCTGACACCGGATCTCGAAACACGCGCCGCAGCTAAGACCATTGTTGAACAGAGCTGTGCTTAAAGCCGCCGTGTTGGTTCCGTATCCTTGACTGTAGAGATTTCCGTACCCACAAGCTCCACCTAGAG